CTCTGAACCTGAACGCGCGTCTTTCTCGCAACGATTACTCTACCTCCCTTTCAAGTTGATTAAATTGGAAATGATGGTGCAATTAACAGTTCTATTGGTACAGATAAATTCCCTACAAACGGAGCTATACCGAATTGAACGGATACAGTATTCTTCCTGCTTAAGAAGCGCAATTCACAGCTGAAGGATGCGCTGGAGGTGAAAGGCACGACGAGGCCGACTACCAATTAAATCGTACCTTCAAGAGGACCGCCGAGAGACTACGGATAACTCGCGTGCGGCTTGTCCAAGGCGGATTTCTCGACGCGGCTCTATGAGCTTACGAAGTAGCCGCATGGTTTTTGCGGCGCCCGTAGTTTTATGAGGCTAATTTATTAGCCGCCCGGACATGGAACATCACGGAACCGTTCCTCGGGCGGTTCTATCCTACGCGAGCGCGCGCGCTCCCCGGGAAGCGCAAGAAACCGCTCAATCTTCGTTCCAATCTTCCTAAAGTACAAGTGCTTCGATCCCTGAGATTTCTCCGCGTCGCTTTCTTGCCGAGGAAAGCCGAATACAACGGCGACGTCGATATCTTGAAGGCAGAACAGCCAATGTCACAAAATATGATCATAAATTATTGTATACACTTTTTTTAATTCTTGAGAAATGTATATCTTTATGTCATTTCAATTTCTAAACATATATCTGCAGTTGTCATCGCAAGTCAATGAAATTACATTAGTCATACAATTGTATTATTTGTATTATCTTTATTATCAGATCGTTAGAAATGTCTTGAGTTGACGATACAGCATTCTAAACCTATTCTATAATTAAGCGTAAATTGTAAGTGCAGGTTGAAGTTGTAAGAAAATTGACTAGTCACAATCGATATTCTTCTCATATTCGACTGTGATTGGTCAATTTTTATAATTACACTTACGAAATTCATAAAATGGATGGCTTAAAGATCAAATCTATAGAGATACGCTTTTAAGTCATACGCGAAGCGGCGTATATAAAATTAATACGAAGTGTAGAATGCGATTGACGGAAACAAGTTGTCGAGCGATGTATCTTCCGCTTCCCGAATGCTACCACTGCGTTGTCGTTACTATCTTTGCCGCTACCTTCGCGAAGCGATGACAACCAGCAGAGGCTATCTTATCGCAATCTGCAATCGAAGCGACGCGTAGTTACGTGTTTTATAGCCCGTTACTGTTTCGTGCGTGCACACATAGTAGGATATGCGCAGCACTGCCGCCGTTCGCCGGATCCGCTCGGCAATTCGACGATGTGACCAAGGGTATCATTAGAAATTCGTCTCACTTTTTGTACGGATCAACGCCGGAGGCAGCAAACAATTATGCAATCCGTTGCCTTCCTGGCTTATGCAAAAGAGTGTCCACCCTGTGTAAGTGGGTATTTCATTACTCTCATAATTATTACGTAAATTACCGAATAATTATGCAGCTTTTAATCGTCAACCTGAACGAATGATACACGTCTCGATAGCCAGATAAAAAACGAGATAGCATTATTGATCAGCTATTATTTTTTCGTTTTAATTCATTATCTTTTTCTTCGGAAAATTATATCGATATTTCTATGTAATTTTATGTAATTTTGCACAACAAGTAATAACCAACTGTTTGAAGGAATAATACGCGTTCTAATATTCAAAGAAAGAAGTGTATTATATAATATTTTTGCGCATTAACGTTTTATAAAATGTATGATAGCTTTTTCCTTTAATCGTTAAAATTATGTAATTTAATAATTTTTAATATAAAATTTAAAAGAAAAAATTAATGATTTACTTATATTATTTAGTATAAAATGAAAAAAAAAAGAGAAATAGAGAGAGAACAAATGATAAATGATGAAAGATATATATCTTTTTCATGAATCTTGGAATAAGCTCAGCAATAATAATATTAGCCTAAATGTCAGAGATTTTATAACAAAAAATCGACGCAGGAAATTACGAAATAAACAATACTTGTGTAAACTTCTGAAAATTGCTATGATTTTTGTCAAATCGAAATGTGACACTTATGTATTGAGGACTCAAACTTTTTACTCAACTCGTGAAGCAAAAGTATAGTTCTACTGAATTCAGTAGAAACTAAAAGCATCTCGATAAAAAGCGAAGGCGAAATTCACGCGGTATAGTATTGCGGCGCAATAGGTACCTACGCTTGAAATACGTTCGAAAAATTCAATGTAGAGAAGTGGAAGCACCATGGGAGGTAGCATCATCGCGTTCAAAACGATCGTGAAATCGTGTTGCCGCGCGATAGCGTACGCGTGGGCCGGCGTTTCCCGTTTCTGTTGGCGGCGCCGAGCTCATGTATTCGCGAGATTAAGGCAGAAGGAGATCAACGGATAACATGGCGAAGATATATATTGGTGGTTTACACGAAGGTTGAGACCCTGGTCCGAACGGTTGTAAGTCGAGGCCCGCAGCCTTCAATCATTGTCAATCGGTTCGGACAGAGCACCGTTATGGTGTCTTCATGCTATCGTCGTCCCATGGGATACACCTATACCATTCTTTGACAACATTCCTACGTCGCAGTCCCGTTCTTCGCGAATATTTGCGAGGGCACATCGTTGACATCATTAGTGTCATTGTGTACACTGTTTAATTCGCCAAAAAAAGAAATTGCTTTTTGCTATTTTAAAAAAATTATTATAAATGCTTCCTATAATTAAAACTGTCACTTATAACGTATAAGAATATTAACTTCTAATTACAAGTTCAACACACAATTCTTCGTCATATTAATCCAGCGAAATCTTTGTACGGATACAGTCGTCAAATAATAGTAGATACAGAAGATATATTGTAAAATATAAGAGATATATGTTGTTAGATACGGAAGATATATTGTAGGAGATAGAAATATTTCAAGTATCGTTTTACGAGACTAGACGATGTTTGTCGTCACTTATAAACGTAGATATACCGACGGCGAAAAAGACGTACGACACACAATAGTGTCGCTCGCTAAGATTGCTCCGCTCGTAACCAGAGACATTGATAAGTAGGATAAGTAAAATCGGAGACTGGGGTACGAGAACGCAAAGGATGTTTGATCCAAGCAAATAGATTTTATGAGCCCGACCGTTCGCGTACGTAACAGTTAACTCGGGCGAAGTGCCTCTCCATGGCACATTTTCTCTTAGCGCAGGACGATAAAGCGCAAACGACGGATAAGGAAAAAAAATGACGAGGAGAAGGGGAGAAACAGCCAAGCGAGATACGAGGTGTAAATATTCGTGAAGCGTACGTGGCTGCCGGGCTCCGTAGTAAAGATACTAGATCGACAATGCAGGTGCGCATCCCGAGCAAGAACCTTCTTATTTAAGAAGCAACTACCTGCAAGAGCACAGAAAGGTCTTTTTATTTTGCTGAAGTACCTAAAAATTTACCTAGCTGTAGATCTGAAAATAATTGTGTTGGACTACCAAAATAATTATCAGGAACGCTCAAATTTGTGGCTAGAATATCGAAACTTTTTGCAATATTGCCCATCATGCTTAAGATTCCTATGTAATTATTTTGATGGTGTAATAAAATTATTTTCAGATCTATATCTTAACTAAGTTTTGAGATACTTCAACAAAATCGTTCTCTGTGCACGTGCTCTATCGTAATATAATCCAACGATACTTATCGATACTTATTGTCCCTCAGCAGTGCAAGTAATAGAAGAGTAACCGATCGAGCGGCTTGCAAATTTTAAATCTTGTATAATCCACTCTTACATTACTTTCTTATCTCTTGCGCGCTCACTATAGACTACGTTTCATCGATAAATTTCGTAAATTTGTTTAATGTAAACGAAAGATAAAAAGAGACTGTAATCTATTTATGCTCTTCAGCGAAACTATAAAATATTTCAAAATCACATTTTTTAATATATATTAGAGAAACTTTTATACATATTAGAAAAAAGAGGAAATAAATCATTATCGGAAATATACGTATTTACCATATACTTCTTGAATACCTACTCCTTGAATCAATTTGGACATTGTATGTACTAGCCGTATTGTTATGCAAATTGCCATAGCGTCGTTCTTGTGACATTATCTTATCGCAATAGAACGAACCACACATTTTGAGTAGCAATCCCGTGCTAATGACGACGAGTTCAATTAAACTGTCATAAACGGCTGAAGCGACTGTCGGTGGGCCAACCCTCAAAGCGACATAACGAAGAAACAACCCCGCCTTTAATATCTGTTCTCGCGAGTTACCAGCAACCCTTTATCCACAAGAGAGTGAAAGAAACTAGGTCGGAGCACGTGGCCTACACGTGTTTAATTGCGAATTGTGAGGGTACATGATGTCTCGAGGGAGCATTCGCGGACGCACCCAACCGATATCTCAAAACCGTGAGAGGCACACGAGTGCATTAATTAAGACCCCTCGAAAAGGGTTAAGGCAATTAAAAAGGTAATCTTTCAAATAATTTAAATTTCATAGCCACAGTACAAAATCTATTAAACAATTTGATTAAAAATTTTAACAATATACTCTATTCTTTGAATTTAAATAATTATCTACACCGTTGGAAAATTTGTGTGAAATTTAACATTTCACGTGTCCCAAATAGCCCACTCAAATTTATGTGTCAATTTAATTATAAAAACGTTACAACTAAAATCGTTAATTGTCAACGTTACAACTAAATGTTTGAATAACTACAATTCAACTAGATAAAATACACTGTAAGCAAAATTGTACAACTGGTAGGCTACTCGATGTAATTTTATGACTTTCGATACTCGTGGCATTTTAAAAAGCAGAGAGAACTGGAATTTTGTAATCATACCCGTAAACAGGATCCCACGTATCTAACCGTACATGGAGAGCATACGCCTGATTACTTTAATTGCTTCGCGGAATTACCTATCTGTAAGCAGTTTTCTTTAATTGCACTTTTATCGTATCATTTCAGGATAATACGCTAATGGCACAATCATCACGTTGTAAAGAAACTTACCGTTTCGGAGGCGACATTCTTGACTTCCGCTAGAAGGACTGCAGCAGGTGAGAGATAAGTCCGGACGAAGTTCTCCAAATTGCCGTGATAAGCGCAAACTAGGATATCCCGTGCTTGTCTTATCAGTAAATTCATAACACTGTCGCCATAAATTGGACCGAGCAAATTCCGGACCAGAGAAGCGAAGTCCCCACGATTCTGTAACGTAATAAAACGATTTGATGATTTTTATATGAAAGCTCTAATTTCAAATTATTGCGCGTTTAATAGTTAATTTTTGTTGCATATACAAGACACAGCGAAACATCTACGAAAAGTAACACATATTGCGCGTGAAACAATTATAATAATATAAGAAATAATAATGAACAATTTCTTTTAATCAAGAATCTTTCATAAATGCAATGCAAAAATCGCCACAGCTCATTTTGTGGACTACGCATCGCAACATTGATCACACGTTTTCAACACATATCCGGATACCGGAAGCAATCGAGACGGAAGGAATCGATCAGTTTCGTGGATCCATTCACATCGCTACGGAATTACGGCGGCTACACGCAAAATCTGTTACTGGCAGTTATCCCCCTGGACGTGAGGGTAAACAAGGGGAACGTGATTTGGATTCTGTGACAAAAGCTGGCAGAATCTCTGGCCAGGGGTGCAGCAACACCCACGGGAGAGAAACGTCAATATTCCTCCCGAGCACGTCCCTTAAACCAATACCGGTTTAGAACATTATTCCTGAAGCGCATCTGTGCAAAATCGTATCAGCTGCATACAGTGCTTACATTGATATCCTTAACTTGCCAATGCAAACAGAAGCATGAAATAAACCAATGGCTTTTAAACATTATCGTGGTTCTACAACATAGTAATAATTTATTACAAGAACTGGCAATGTCTGAATGGACGCTTTGATTATGCTTTATTTTTAAAAAATTCCCCTCTTTCATCTTTTTTTTTCAAAAAATTATTTTACAATTTATTTCGACATTAAATTAATTTTTAAATTAATTATTTTATTAAGTAGAGAGTAAAATATCTTTTCTTCTATAAATTTCCTAAAAATAGTTATCTTCTTCTAATAGTTATCTTCTAACGGTATGTATCTAATATCATATGTAAAGCAATACGTTTACATATATAATTACTCAAATTTCAATTACTAAAAGTGTAAAACAATTTCTTAACTTTCCAAGTGTCCTAAATCCCCGATAATTCGATAAGATCGACACAAAATATCGCCTCAACCTAGATCTCCATAAATAGATACACATTTCCAACAAAATTCCAATTTAAGCGACCAGTTCTCCGCATACCTCCGATAAAAGCAGTCTCTTTTGCGAAACGTTGCGCCATTTGCGTAATCTCCCCGACATCGCTTTCCCACCGAGATTCGAATACCAACGTGGACAAGTGGCTGTGTCGTCTCGCGTACGATGTGGGTGCATTATATCGAGCCGCATCACCGCCTCGAAGTGCATAAACATTGAAGTTTAGCGAGGGTACGCGAGAAACGGAAGGAGAACGCGCAGTGTAACCATTATACGTGTGCCTGATCGCCCACGTATTTCCGCCCTCATAGTGCGGATGGTCGACCACAACGCGATCGGCAGTGTTGAAAGCGCACGAGACTTGTCTTTTCGAAGAAATGCACACCGCCGCCAAGGGTTTCACGTGGGATCTGGGTGATCGAGAGCGAAACCGGATGTGGCAAGTATATGTGAGTAGTACAAAAAGTGTGACTACAATATACAGATTATGACTGCGTGCTCTCAATAATGTTCTTTATTTAAATTCAAGTAGAATTTACTTTGGAAAAAAATTTTAAATTGCTAAAGCTCATTTATTTAGATAATTAATATTAAAAATTAAAAAATTGTCAAAAAAGTGAAGTTTCAAAAAGCATAAAATTTTGTTGAACAATCTATAAATGAATAATGGATTTTCTGAGATATTCTGTACAATAATTTGTATATTATTTTTAACATGAAAAATTTATCATAAATATAATAATCTATATACAAAATTTAGACATCATGAAATTTAAATCAGATAATAACAAGGAATATCTTTGAGTGAAAGATGTTTTAAAAATAAAAACTAATTCAGTAATAATAAAAATTAGATATGATACACGATTATTCGCGTTGGTATGTCATAAATTTAAAAAAATACTATCTGAGATTAAAGGTTTGTTCACGTCGCAAGCTCCAACATGCTCCAACATGCTCCTACCATAGCTCCTTCTAACTCTACCAAGCGCGTTGGAATGAGTAGGAGCTATGGTAGGAGTATATTGGAACATGTTGGAGCATGCGACGCGAACAAACTTATAATTATTTCGGGAAGTACTATCGATAATTCTTATTCTGTCACGTAGTGCCATCCCACGGGGTGTGCCGATCATAATAACAGACCGACACGAGTCAGTACCAATATTTGACCACCCAAAATTTATGGGAAAGGGTAAGGCGGCACTGTGCATAAAGGACTCGTTAGGGGAGGCACGCATCTCCCGCAGGGGATTCGTAGGGATGAAAACGGACACACCGTCTGGATCCGCATATAAATTAACCGCGATTCACGTGGCGGTGGTTTTAATCGTCTACCTTATGGGAATACGTTGTTTATTAATGTGTTTACTCGTGTGAATAGGCAAACCGTGATTTACTATGGCCTATTCACGTGCTCAAGTACTAATGCGAAGTGGTCTACAATGGGGGAAGAGTTTAACGTTCTTTTCTTAGAGAAGAGAATCCACAAAACGCAAGAGACTGCTACAATAAAACTTTATGAAATATCTGCTCCCATGAATCTACAAATTGTTCAAAAATTATGTTACAAGATTACATTATGAAAATAATTGTTATTTTCAATAAATCATTTTACTTTTTTGTTAAAACCAAAAAATTTAATAGAACCTTTTCGAAACCATTGAGAAATACATTTAGAAACAAAACGTAAAAAGCTGTTTCAAAACATTTATAGATATGCGTTATCAATGGCATGAAAATATTAAAAATAGTATTTTTACGTAATAGATAATGAAAGTAACTGTTTAAAAATATAATTTTTAATTATTTTTATTATAACTTCTATAATTCACTAATAAATAAATAGATCAATATCCATAATAAATTCGAAAGCAACAAATTCTTCTTATGTGCATTTTATTTCTGATGTGGTACATGTATCGCACAAGCGATGCAAACTTTTAATTTTAATGCAAATCGATTAATGCAAATGAGAAAAAAGAGACCAAGAATTAATGAACTCGCTAACTAAAATGCATCTTATGGTACTATGTCGAACACTGTGTCAGAAAATGCCGAGATATTCGTTCCCCATTTTTTGTATGCACTTGAGCTAACGTGATGAAGGCAAAACATTCCGCCCGTGAAATTAGAATCATGCTTTTACATCGAGGTAGGGTCTTGATTAGTCCCTTTGTTTAGTAGTCCGCCTTGTATAATAGCGCCACTGCTCGTGAGCTCATCGCGGACGGTAATTTGCATTTTGATCGACGGAATCTCATTTCACACAGCCGCAAAGCTATATGGAACTTTAGACAAAAATATTTTTTAATGTAGATGTCCGGAACAATGCGAAGAGGACGAAATAACATGCACCAATGAATTAAGGAAGAATCTTGTGGAATTTCAGAATAGTGAATAATAGTGAATTAAACCAAAGTAGGTAATGTAAATAAAAATTACTTGATTAAATTTTCTGAAAATTTATGTTGAATTTAATAAAAACAGAAAATAAAGATTTTGAAACTATATATAATTAAATTTGCATTCCTCACATAATATTTGGCATGAAATTCAAAATCATAAAAAATAACTTTGAAAATATAAAAAATATAACAATAATAATAAAAAATTGAGACCAAGATATCAATACTTTAATTTTATATAGGTATACATATGTATATTGTGAAGCGATTCCTGGGAATAATGGTAAAATGAATGGCTAATGCGACAGTGGATTAAATTTTGACGCAGTTAAGCGTATTTAGTCCGTGAAAGGGTCCGTGACTCCCTAGAATATTGATCAAGTCTCTCAGTTCCCCATTACATTACGCGTGTCGAATTTCAAATTAACCCAGACGCATGTCAAATTCGTCTCATGCACAACGCGTCGCTTACAACGCGTTTACTTGTTTAGTCAGCTTCCGAATTTCCCACCGTTTTGCGTACTCACCCCCTCTTATCTATTACAGAGGATTTATTGCTCAAACACACATGCCTTAGAAAAAAAGTTATTCAACATTTTCTCATAAGACGTACTGTAGAGGATAACACTATCTATAGTACCAAATTTAACCTATAATTTAAGTCACCATTGCTCCTACTCGATATATTGTTATTTTACGCTAAAACAATGATTAAATTTGAAACTATATAGTATCAAATTTAACCATTATTTTAGTATAAAATAACTATATGTTGAGTAGACGCAGTGGCAACTTAAATTAGGTTAAATTTGACACTATAGATTTGACAGTAAATATTTAAATATTGCTTGACATTAAAATCTCTTTGGTTAGAATGTTACAAATCGAAAATTGCTATATTCAAACATACTAAATTAATAATTCGCAACGCAAAACCACTGCGTACTTTACGTATCCAAAGATTCGACGAGGATTAAGAAAGTAGTACATGTATGTTACGAAATATTAAGAACCGCCTGGCATGGGGCAACTCTCGACGATATTTTCTCGAGCGTATCTGTCGACCGCCTATACAGCCAGCTAGCCAGCCAAGTATTCCCGCGAGCGCGATACGCGCCGCGACGCGACGTTCCAATAATTATCGAAAAATGCGCAAGGGGTCGGCCGTCATTAATTAAATAGCCGTACAAATACGGGGGAAACCTATCGGAAGCGAAGCGGCCGCACGCCGTTACACAATACACCAGAAGCAACCGCAATATCCATCAATGCTACGCTCTGTTCGGAGCCACGATAATGCAACGGACCACCGTTGCGAGCCGTTAGAGAGAGATTCGCGAAAGGGAGGCTGAGTCGCGCGAGAGAGACAGAGAAAAAAAGAGAGAAAGAGAAGAAGCCGGGAGAGGTACGCAGCATGGAAACGGGCATTAATCAATCCGCGCACGTGGAAAGCAGCGGCGGTTTAGCGGGACGAAGCGGTGGTGCCTCACTTGGCTTAATAAAGTTGCAAATC